TCCACCCGCCTCGGCCTCCCAAAGTGCTGGGATTACAGGCTTGAGCCACCATGCCCGGCATGTTTATATTTTTGTATTCGTGTGCAGATACTTTGCTTGGATATCTAGGAACCTGGGGACTAGGTTTACTTGCATATTCTCTCTGGAGCAATTGATAAATAAGAAGGTATCAGTTTGATTTCTTGGAGTACAAGTTAGGGAAATCCTAACCCGAAAAGGTTTAAGCCAAAAGCAGGATTTAGTAACTCATAAAACTGAGGAGTCTAGGAGTAATATTGCCAAACAAGTCATCAAAATCCAGTTTTTATCTGCTCTGTCACTTTCATTTTGAAGCCATTCTCACACATCTCCTTTGATTCCAAATGTGATTTATATAATCTTGAGTTCAAATTCAAAAAGAAAGACTAAGTCTTTTTTTCTCAAAAGTCCCAGCTAGTCTGTGCATTTCAGTTACTAATGATGTTGCATCCAGCTTCCCGAATCTATGCATGTGGCCATGCAGGGTATGATTGGCTAAACTTGTCATATTCCCAACCTAGAATCAGATGGAAGTTGACTTCATCTTACTATAAGGAGAGCTAGAGCCACAGATAAAAATTGAGAGCTATTATTGGAAGTAGGATGAATGAATTCAATGAGGCTCAAAAAAAAAAAGAAAAGAAAAGAAAAGAAAAAACAAGTGTCCACTAGAGGGAGGATTCTATCATGTCTTCATAGATGCGCTAATTTGATGGAAAATTCTACACATAGCTTAGTAATTGAGGGAAAATAATCATATAAAAAGGAATTCCACACAATAAAAGATAGGCAAATTCATAGGATTTCTTACCATTTCCCTGCTTTCTGTCATTCCTAAGTTCAACGTCCAGGCCTTTACAGAAAGTAAAGTTAACTTCATCCTTCCCAGTTCCATCCTGAAGCCTGTGTGTACTTGTGATTGATTTGAAAGCCTTTTGTTCTCTGAGGATTTCCTTAAATCATGTCTGAGATTCCTGGAAATGGAGAGTTTGCCTTCTTGACCTTATTTTAGCAAACATGCTAATGATTAGTTCAAACTAGTTTTAATCACCTTTGTTCCAGAAAAATATGTTTGCCACTTACGTATTGAGCAGCACATCCTTAGACAACTTCTGGGAATGTCAGAATTAGTTTACTAAAAGGAATAAGTTGAAAACATTTTAAATACAATTGAATTTACGTTTTGTGGAGTTTTATTTCAAGGGATATCTTCGTAGAACTTGTATATCTAATGCCCTAAATTAGCCATTTTAAAGCTATAATTTTAGAATAATATAAAGAGGTTTTCAGTTAAACACAGTAGGTTGAACACATATCTTATTCTCTCCTGAAACCTCATTGAACATGATATAAAAAAAATTTTTAAACAGCAAAAAGGCATAAACCCACAAGTACAGAAAAAAATGGGAAACAAACAATAGCAGACAAGAATATCAACAAAACTTATTATTTTGAACAGGAAATACATTCATGTAGTTCACAAAATACTAAAATGTAGAGTAAAAAGGCTGATTCTCATTTCTGTCCCCATCTTCCCTCATTATCCTTTGTCCTTTTGTCCCAGTTTATAGTCTTCTAGATTTTCTTTAGGCATATACAAATTTTTTTCTACACAAAAGGTGCATGCTGTACACTTCTGGACCTTGTTTTTGTTTGTTTATTTCAAAAATGTATTTTGGATCGCGTGAGCCCAGGAGTTGAAGGCTGTGGTGTGTGATGATCATGCCTGTGAGTAGGCAGTGCTCACAGGCAGCATTGGGCAATGAAGCAATACCTTTTTTTTTTTTTTTTTTGAGACGGAGTCTCACTGTCTCACCCAGGCTGTAGTGCAGTGGCGCAATCTCGGCTCACTGCAGCCTCCACCTCCCAGATTCAAGCAGTTCTCATGTCTCAGCCTCCCTAGTAGTTGAGACTACAGTCGCATACCACCACACCCAGCTAATTTTTGTATTTTTAGTAGAGGCAGAATTTCACCATATTGATTAGGCTGGTCTCAAACTCCTAACTTCAAGTGGCCTTCCCACCATGGCCTCTCAAACCACTGGGATTACAGGTATGAGCCACTGCACCTGGCTTACCTCATCTCCTTAAAGAATATATGTATCTTGGAGATCACTGTTCATGATTTTCTGTTTATATTTTTTTCTATTTTTCTGTGTTTATACCACACATATATTTTCTTAAAATCAATTAGTTTATGAGTTTTTTTTCTAATTGAGAGGAATTATGAAGACTTATTTTTCACAGCTATTTAATGATCCTCAGTTGTATAGTAATTCTTAAATGCCATTATTCTCTATGTTCTTACAATATAAGGTAAACATTCATTAGTCAGAGAACATGGAAGTTGAAATAAGTTTGTAAGAGGACTGAAATCATGGTTTTTGTGCATGCATAACAGCACGGTAATAGGTCATTGTCTGAATATAATATTTTTTAATTTTCTCCGTCGCCTGTTGGTCTCAGTGGTTCTTATGATATATTTAAGAAATAGATTTTACTATTTTTAGTAAGGCAAATTTGAGCATATGGCCATAACATATCTACCTTTCTCTCTTTCCTCTCCCTCTCGCTGTTTTCCTCTTCTCTTCCCCAACCCCTCCTCTCCCTTCTCCTTCCCTCACTATTTTTTCATTTTTCTTTCCATGCCTTCCTTTTTTTTAACAGTCACTCCAGTACTCCAGATGATTCAGTAGACCTACCTGTTTGATCATGATCAAACGAGTTTGTGATCATCTGAGAACTATGATAGTGATTCTGTGAAGGATTGTATAGATTTGCTTTAGGAAAAACAGCATTTTAAGCAGATAGTGTTTCTGAGTTTAGAACTCAAAATTAGGGTTTCGCAGCCACATCGCTATTGACATTTTTCACTGGATAACTTTTTGTTATGACAGCTGGCCTGTACAAAAATGTTAAGAGTATCCCTAGCCTTTTCTCACTTGATGCAAATAAAACCCTTAAATGTTACAATCAAAAATATCTGCAAACATTGCCAAATGTCCCTAGAAGTGCACGATTGTCCATGGTCGAGAGCCACTAATCTAAATGAGCTCTCGTGTGTGTAAATTCAAACAGCAACACATGTACCACTTCCTAATTACTATATTACAATGAAATATATAAGAACTATACAGCCATCAAAATTGAATGAGTGGGTAGAGAATATTAGAAATTTTAAAATATGTTCTTTCTTGCATATACTCATATTTGCTAAGACTGAACATTTGAAAAGATGGCAAAAAACTTTAAAAATGTTTCTGTGACCATTACTTGAGTATCTGATGTTAGACTCTGTGGGTAATAAGGTGATCCTGCCTTCAAGTCTAAAGTTTTGGCTATCGTTTTATTTTCAGTGATGATAAAGGAAGCACATCTTTTATTTTGGCAAAGTAGAATCTATTTAGGCTTCTTAAAATGCCGACTTTGGGGATATGCAACCAATAAACATAATTATAACATAATGCTTTTTAAAATATACTGAAAATGGAGGAAGGTAGACTTTTCAACAAGTACTATTGGGATAAATAGATTTGCATATGGAAAAAATTGAATTGGATCCATTTCTCACACAAGGATAAATTTCAGTTGGATCACATTTAAGTGAAAGAAATGAAAGCAGGACATGGTAACACGTGCCTATAGTCCTAGCTACTTGGGAGCTGAAGCAGGAGAATTGCTTGAGACCAGGAGTTTGAGGCTGAAGTGCTCTATGTTCCACAC